ATTCAAGATTGATTATCTGTATACAAAATTATTTTATTAAAACAAAAAAATAATATAATGTTTAAATTCCTGAAAAGATCTTTTAATATAAAGATCTGGACATATATATACCTAAATGGCAAAGAAATAAATTATCTAGCATTTGTTTGAAATTGCACAATGAAATATCTGATTATTTCCCCATTTGAAAAAAGCACATGAAAATCAAGATCTGCTGTGACAATAAGTACACTCAGATCATGAAAAGTGCACCTTTTGCTAGGCAAATAGTGGTTGTCATATAAGAACAATAATGAGAATTACTAAGTGCAAACAAGACAAGCTTGCTTAAGTACAGAAGGTGCATTTTATTTTTTTATGTAAAACTGATATAAATTAAAATTTAGATATACATTTAAATGAAAACAATTTCAAAATTGGAGATTTAATCTTAAATTTCAGAGTAGGCCTGCATTTTCTTATGAGAAAAAGAGAAGTGCAAGAGTGTGAGGCTATAGGCTCCAATCCAACCCTCCTGTGGGAATGAGTAATGTGTAAAGCTTCAGACCACTGATAATAATTATTCTCTAAATTAAAGATGAGCTTTAACCCATCTTCTTTGATGATTAAGAAAGCCAAATTTTCAAAGCTAATTAGTTTCTCAGTAAGGGTCATTGTTGTTTATTGTTCAGGCACTCTTAAGGTAATTAGAATGCCTGACCTAAATTAAGCACATTTTGCACATTTTATTAACGATGCACACTAACAGGACCCCCTGGCCAAAACACATGTGTGCCTCTGTCTTCTGAGATGGCCTACCAAGGAAGAAAATTCCACATCCACCATGCTTCCAACATAAATATCCGGCTGCAGGTTCTTGGTGGTTTGACTAGCAATGGTTGCGCCATCCTGCTGCATGGGGAGAAGTGGCTTCTATGCTTTCCAAATCCTTTGTTGGTGTTACATTGCTTCATGCGTTGTGAGGAACTGAGCATAAACAGACGGGAAAGTACTCTGAACTACCTAAGGAAGCAGTAAGGACTGGATTGCCCTTCTTCCTCAATCATTTGCTGCTGCAGCATTAGAAAATAGCTGATTTTTACAGAAAAAGAGTAGAAATCATGAATTATTGAATGATTCTTCCTATCAACAAATATATAAAACCTCCCAGATTCCAACCATAAGCATTTTAGAACTTTCTGAAACAAAGTTGGAATTGCTTTTATTATCCATGGTCTAACTATTCTGATATTTAGATAGTGAAAAACAGTAAGCAGTCCTTCCCTGCTCATCTGTTCTGTATTGTTACCAATTGTGTAACCATACCCTTTTCCAAGGTCAAGAATCCTCTCAGCTTGGTCCTCATAACTACAGTCTCTTCTTGTTGCTTTTTTTCTGTACTATGGTACATGTGGTTACAGAGAATATATAAAATTAAACATTAAGAGGTTTATGTTGTTTCTTTCAAAATAATTACTGCTGGTTTATTTCCCTTTGATTGACATTGGTCAATGAGCTCAAGATATTTGCAGACAACTATTCCAAATCTATTCTCACTGAAGTAGCAGCCAGGCTAGAGCCTGATATTCTGTTCTTACCATTTTAGTTAATCTTTCTATTATTACATTAATTTAAAATTTCAGCTATCAATTCCACACCTGTTCACTCAATATGGTAAAATTCTTGTGCAACTGGGTAGTTAGCCTTAGATATGCCTGTCATGAACATGAATTCTTCATTGTTACTATGTTACTATTAATCTCCTTTCCCACGTTTTTTTATGAATAGATGGTCAGGATCCAGCTGTCAACCTCCCCTACAACACAATATCCATAATTCTTCTTTTCCCAATTTAAAACCACCTATGATCACAGCAAAACCTCTCCTTCTATTGTAATTTTAATTGTGGATTTTTTTTTTTGTTGATAGGCTTCATCAAATGTTTGGAATTTTCTTGCACCTACTGAATAGGTAAAACTTACCGATATGCTTATTGAGTTCAGCATTACACTATGGTTGATTTTAAAGACATAACTTCCCTCTACAAAAGTCACTCTAACTCTTCTCCAATATTTCATATGTATTCATGTGCTCCCCAAGCCTACCATGTAATAATCCCATATACCAAGTAGGCTCCATGCTAATCAAATTACAGGTAAGATTTTTTTTGTTAGATTTCTTTTCCCCCAAAGACTATGATGCATATCAATGCCATAAAAGCTTTACTTAAAACTGTTGGAGGATTCATTCTGCAATTATGTGACTCTGTTGTGGAAATCTGTAGGGTCTCTGTGCCCAAGGAAGCATGAAAAAAGAAATATTTTTCCCTCTTATATTCTTATTGCTTGGCTCTAGACCTAAGAATGCACTCATGGGAACTTAAAATACAAGCACATCCAAGCACGCCAATGGACAAAAGCACAGGAAGGGAACAAAGTTAATTCAGAGCTCCAGCCATGAGAGGTTCCTCATGATCAAACTAAAGCCTTGAAATCTGCCTGTAAGCTCAGGGATACATGGCATACAGGGCAGGGATTTACTGCAGTTACACAACATAACTCTTCCGATGGGCAGGCCAGCCCATTTTCAAATACCTCTCTGCTGTACAAATGCTTCCTGGTGATGAAGAAGGCGTGAATGACTCTAAAAAGTGCTGCGACTAAATGGCATTTACTCACTCAGGTGGAATTTCCAAGTGGATTTTTGAACAGCAGAGCAAATTTGACGCAACTGACACTGAGGAAGGCTCAAGCTTTTCTGGGAGAACGTCATGGTAGCACAGGAGTACACAAGAGACAAACCCATGTTGTGTCAGAGGCAATGGCCTATCCAGCCCAGTGTGCTTTCTCCAGCTGTGGCTGCAAGCCAACAACCAGGAAAAGTAAGAACAAGGCTGCCAGCTGACACTTCCAACAGCCTTGGGCTGAAGGGTACCATGATCCCATCTCGTTACTACTCCTACCAGTATTTGCCCTGTCTCCCCTCGAACTCCTGCAGGCTTCTCACAACCACAGCAGCAGCGTTACGTTCAGTGTAGGGGTCCAGTGTGTTACTGCAAATACCTATCAGCATGTAGGAGGAAGAAAATACGAGTGGTACGAAGCCAGGCCAGACTTTTAAGATTGTTAATTAGGGCTTTGAAAGAGACAGTCTGGGTCAACCCACTCTAGGCACCTGTTCTGACAGATGTGGGTTTGTCCCACACTGACACTAAATAAAGAATTAAAAAACTTAAAAATGAAGTTTTGACCACAAGGTTAGTAGTATGGCTTATTAGGTTCGGATGGAAATTATTGCAGGTCCAGACAATTCATTCCTTTTCTATGTCCACAACTGCATGAACAGAGCATAAGGAATTAGAATAGTCAGAAATTAGGCCCTGTGCTTCCCACCAGGCTGCAAACCCCACTATGGCTAAGTGAAAGGTCTGATGCAGCTGCAGGGCACTGCAGGGTCTTACCATGTGCATATATGAACACCTAAAATGGGACATGCCAGGTGAAGGTAACAGACAGCTGGAGATGTGGGGTTGCTTCTTTAGACAAATTAGGCTTTACTAGTTAAAAAAAAAATTAAAGCTTTGCAGCCCTTTTTCCTCTGATCCCACAGAGCCTGTGTTACGGAATTTGGTGCAATGTTATTATGTCATTGTGCAACCATCAGCAGAGCCAGCCTACAACACCAACACGCCATGGGGTTCTGCAGCACATAGTTGTGAATGTTATCACGGGTCATCACAGGTTAACACAGGTTATCACAGTGGGCCCAGAATGCACTTATGTGTAACCAATCCATTGGACACACACCTCTGTGGATTGCCCACATGACTAGAGTGGGGGCATGGCCATGTTTTTAGACATTCTAACATTCTTTTGCCCACACAAATGTGCACGTGTCCCACTAAAACTGCCTGATGGTTTCACCTCTCCCTTTCTTGCCACCTACAGTCACTGCTGGTGACCTCCAGCAGTGAAATGTCTCACGCTTTCAGATGCAACAGGTCACTGATCGCCCTCGTTTGCATGAAATTGTAAGAAAGAGGGCTTTCTGGGAATTTTTGCTTCTCAATTGTGCATTTGAATGTAAACATAAGTAAACAAATATGTAAACATAAGTAAACAAATAAATATTGCAATGTAGCTACCAATCCACTTGATCTCCTTTTTGAAGTGCTTTGTGACTCGCTGATAAAAAAAAGCTACAAATCGGTAATAATTGTGTCTGACGCAAAGTGTGGAATGAAAGGTAGAAATATTACACCTTGCTTCAGGCTGAAAGGTCTTTGCGTGCAGGCTGGTCCCGTGGGAAGCCCACCTTCTGTGTGTGTGCAACCTGCGCCTCTGCGTTTGTTATTGTTACTTCGGCCCTGATTCACCTGAGCCACTCCGAACCCCCAGGAGACACAGGTGAGCACCCGCGGCCTCAAATGGACCAGCACAACCGTGCCGAGAGGAAGAATTTCGGCTGAAAAGCCGAAACTTTGCCGGCAGTCGCCAAGCTGCGCCATCGGCGGCCGCGGGCCGGAGCGGGACGGGACTGGACGGGACCCGCCCGCACGGAACCTGCGCCCCGCGGGGCGCGGCCCGGCGGGGAGGGGAAAGCAAAGGAGAAGAGTAGGGAGAAGGGAAGGTAAGGGAAGGGAGGGGCGGGTGCCGCGCCCAGGAGCGGCACGCTGGGGCGGAGGGGCAGAGCTTCCCCGGGCGCGGCCCCGCTCCGCTGTGCGCGCAGCCGGCGCCGCGGCGGGGCGGGGCGGGGCGGGGTGGGGTGGCGAGGGGAGGAGAAGGGAGGGGAGGGGACGGGCAGCGCCTCGCCGCGGAGGTGGGCGGCGGGCGGGCGGGGTGTCCCAGCGCCGAGCCCGGGGACGGGCATTACCCAAAAGGCGGAAAAAAAAAAAAAGGAGTAATTAAAGTCGCCGCTGCCGCGCGCGGTCCCACCCTCCCCACCGGCCGGCTCCCCTGGCAGACGGGAGGGGACAGCAGAGACGGGCTGCCGCGGAGACACACCGCCACCTCCACCTCCTCCGGCTCTTCGCTCTCGCTCCCTCGCCCGCCGTGGCAGCACCGACAGCGGCGGATCCCCCTTTCCCGCGCAGCCCCGCGCACCATGGCCCCCGCAGCCCCCCGCCTGGTCCTCGGCCTCCTGGTGAGTGAGGGAGAGCAGGCGGTGGGTGGGTGGGCGGGCGCCGGCGGGCAGCGCAGCGCTCCGGCCGCTCACTCACCTTCCCCCCGCGCCGGGACTTCTCCACCGCGGGCGCGCAGGGCGAGGAGAGGCTTCTGAGCTGGTGGTCCCTGCCGGGCTCTTTATTCCAAACCAGCTTTCCCCTCGGCCCGGTCCTTGCTGGGGGCGCGGAGCAGCGCGGGGGCTGCGCGGCCCCCGGGGCGCACCTCGGGGGTCTTCGGCGCAGGGAGGAATCCGGCGGGCTGCGCGGCTCGCTGTGGGACAGGGGCTCGGGCGGCTTTTGGACCGGGGGGTTACGCGGCGGGCACACGCTCGGGTGGCTTCGGCTGGTTATTCGTAAAAAAAAAATTGAACCGCGGTTCGTTTTATTTAAATCTCTCCCCCTTCTACCTCTCCCCACGCGGTTGTCCTTTTTTCGGTGGGAAGGATTGTGCCACAGTGTGGAGCGTGTTGAGCTCCTCGGGAAGAGTTAGTTGTGTGCTTACCTTTAGTTTATTGCATTTGTGCATAATTACCAGCTTAGAAAGGCCATTGCCGGGGAAAGCCGGGTTGTTCTCTCGCTCATTTTCTTTTTTTTTTTTTTTTTAAACATATAGTGGATGAGTAAAAGTGCTTTTTCTTTTGTTTCTTACCCCCTTTCCTCCCTATTATCATTCCGTTCGCAAAAAGTGGGCAGGTGATCATTTGAGGCAGTGAGATAGAAATACTCGGTAGTGTTGAAGCACTGAATTTACTATATTTATATTAATTACATATGTATATTTTAATGAAAGTATTACTATTCCAGACACTATGTATGTCTACCTTTGCAAGGATATTAATAGCAAAACCCAAAGAAATGCAAGCAACTTCACTCATACATTTAATTAAAAAAAAAAAAAAGGAAGAAGAAAGAATTTCTCCTGTAAAGCAAAAAAAAAAAAAAAAAAACCACTCAAAGAAAAAAATCCCTCGGTGTCTTCTTTGCATTAAGTGAAAGGACATCACAGTTTCTTTTTACCTAATGCTTCCTTATGTCTTTATGTCCATGAATAACTACCACTTACTTCTGTTTAACTCTTTAATAGTTCTTTGGGCTGACATCAGACTGAGTTTGGCATTACTATTTCAAAATTAGATGTCATTGATTCTTAAAATATTTTAGAACAGTGTAATAAGATATGATTTCAATAACTTAAAAATTCATGCAATGTCTTTCAGGAGAGAGTGTTTTATTAAGTGTCTATTACTTAGGAAAGTGCCTACTAATACATAAGCAGAGATGTTTATTTGTATATACTTATATTTTTATATCTGTGTATGTACATATCTATAAGGAACTGTATGAAGAGCTCTAATGGTGCAGACACAGCATATATTGTTTTTAGCTGATCATAGTTTTTCTAAAAGTTCCTAATGTTGTTAAGTGTTTAAAGCATTTTTATTCAAATGTTTTCTTCATAAGCATCACAAGTAATTTTTGGAATTTCCATTAGCTATTTACTCTTTATACCTTTAATCCTAAAGATATGTGCAAAATAAAAATTGTTTTACTTTTTTGCTAGACTTTCATCCTGAAAGAATAAATGCACATAAAAGGGTGGATAGATTTATTTACATTTTCTATTTCTTTGTTTAATTGGCTGCGTGATTTTTGGATTACAATTTTAAACATAGGGATAGAAACCAGGCAAAATATACACACATATGATCTGAGATCAGGACTCACTTGCTCTGTGCTGAGGAAAATCTTTGTACCTCTGTGTGATTCTTTTTTAAAAAAAGGTCTGGTTATCTACTGCTCATTTGAATTTTGAGGAGGACCCCATTTTGTAACTGGTTATATGGGAGTGGACTGCTGTAATACTCGACGTTTTATTTATGTCATATCTAATTGCTGAAGCTAGATTTAATTAGTTTGTTGAGAATGCACTTTGAAGATGCAAAGTGATATGTAAGTCCAAGTGTCGTCATGTGGTTTTAATGAGACACTTGTCCCTTTAATGTTCAGCATCACCACAGTTCTACCAAACTGAGTGTTGATGGATGAAACCTTAATACTTAGAGACCTTGGATCTGAATTGACCAGGACTACTGTTGGAGGGAGTGCACGGGAAAGCTGTATTTTATCTTTCCTCTACTAAAGGAATAGTGTTGGTGAAATCTTCTAGTTAAAAGGAACTCTTGGTGGTAATGTCGGTGCTGCAGTGATTTTAGAAAAAAGCTGAACACAAACTATTGACAAATCGAGGAGCAGCATTCAGATCTTGTTTCCAGTTCGAAACTTTATCTGCTATGCTGCACAATACCCAATTTTTTAGCAAGGAGTGCTTTCTGTGCTGTTTGACTCGCTTGTCTTAACAAATAAACCAAAGTCAGTTTCAGTGTCTAGTTATTATTCAAAATATCATGTAACTATGTGGGTTTGTTTCCTGATTTCTTAATTTGTTTTCTAGGTACTGAGTTTGTGCTGTGAAGCTTGCAAGAAAGTAATTTTTCATGTTCCTTCTGAGCTAGAGGCTGACACATTAGTTGGCAGAGGTGAGAAACTGTGAGATGCCCGTCTTAACAACACAACATTGCACCTTTGCTGGAGATGCTGTGAACAGTGGAGGAGGCTTTTTTTAATGGAATGAATGGATGACTGGACAGCCAGTTAAACAGCTGGATCAGCCTTTTTATGAAGGATACGCCCTGTGTTTGTTATGGATTTGAACACTGGCTCTGTGCATCCACTTGACTTTTGCGTAAACAGCTATTGTTAGGTTACAGTATTTATCCTAAAACTAGAATGCCAGAGTTTCATGTTTTCAAAATGTGGAGTCTAAGGCTTAGTATTCAAATAAGTGGCTTGGTATTTCAAAGTGCACCCCTCTCCCACAGTCATATGAAGAACAAGTAAGTCATTTGGACAATGGAAAAGATGAAAAAAGAAGACAAGGCCCACATAACCAGGCACCGAGAAGCTGCTGCTCTGTGAAACATGGATGTGACTGCTCAGCAGTGCTGGAGCATTCAGGGCATACAAGGGGATGTGTTGCAGAGGTGTCCTGCATCACATTTGGCTAGGAGAATGCTCCTGTCTGACTGGATGGTCTGTCTTGATTTAGGGCAGTGTACAGGTGACTGAGAGGAATAGGAGAGACCAGAAAACACCCCACTCTTTTCAGAGCAGTCTTTGAAAGGCAACTTTAAAAGGCGTGGCATAGGAATTACTTCAGGGTTCTGTGGTGCCTGAGACTGAATTTGAGGGTTCAGAGGTGCCCTTTGTGAGTCCTACCACAACAGAGGAACATGCTACAACTCTGCAATCTTAATCCACATTCCTGCAGAAGGATAATATATAAAGAATAAGTGGATTGGTAGTTCATCACAATACAAGTGCTCAGAAAATCCTGCTGTATCATGGAAATTCTTTGACCTTACTTTTAAATTTTAAAATTAAGAAGCTTGCTACAGCTGTGTGAATTCTCATAGACTTCAATATTTCTCTATGTAAATAAACTTGGATTTATATAAAAATAAAACTTCATGTTATTGCACTGCTTTGAAATAAATTGCATAACACTGAAATTAATTTTTTTTTCACCCAAACATTTAACAAAACCATTATAGCTCAAATGACATTACTTAAACATTTATTGAGAAGTATTTTGCATTGATACAAGGACCATATCTTGATAGTGAAATTAGGCAGGACTTTCCTGGTTGTTGTAAGGTTTTTTATATTTTTGACTTAGACCAGAGGCTTTAAAGAAAAAAATGTCACAGAGCTATAGCTAATTGAGCGTACTGTTGACTCATATAACCATCAGAAGCAAAATCTTCAGTCTGGTGTTTTTGAAAATGCAGTGCTGTAATATGAAGCAGTATGAGACATTTAGGTGAGGCAGTGCTATTCTTTTCAATACTGCATTTTCACTGTAGAGGTGAAAAAGGACAGGAGTCACTGCTGCAGTACCATAGAAAGTGTAGCAAATATTTATTTAAACAGATAAAGGTCAAACTTAAGAGTAAGAAGAAATAGTATTTAAAATTATACTTTGCATCTGTCCTTGCAGTTTTGAAAGAGAAATGAAATATAGGTTATTGAAAATATCAACTGCATATATGGGATGAAATTCTGGATCTACTTTGGGAATTTTGCAATCAGCCTTGATAGATTAGTGTCCCACCCACTATGATAACATTGAAGGAGTATTGAAAAGTTCTGATTTTGAGAACATGACCCGAGGATCTCTTGTACCCTGCAAGGATCATTTGTCTGGAGTTTGGGTCTCTGGCTTTCATCTTTTTCAGGGTGCCAAATCATTCTTGCTTAGTGCTGTGGTCCCATTGCAATTCATTGCAAGTGTCCTGATTTTTCTCCAACTGTAATGGTGGATTACTTGCTGGTGAACCAAGTTTATTGAAGTGTGTAAGAATTTATGTTAGCCACGAGTGATAGCAAATGCAGTGAAAAATACCTGGGAAGTATGCTAAAATTGCCTGATACTTTCAATAAATGTGGCATTCTATCACATACATATTGAAAAATTGCTAATAGTTTGTTCTAGAGTTAGTCTTTATCTCTTGCATCTGTCTGCCTCATAATTTAAAGACCTTTGTCCTCCCAAGACTATTAAATCACACAGCACCAGTCAGGGCTTTCCTCCCGAGGGCAGAACTTCCAAGATGTAAGATCTCCATCGGATATTTGCATTAATTAATCGTCTTCACTGATATTGTAGGGCATGGAACACAAGGCAACTGTAATAGCTACTGATCCAATAATGGGCATGTCTGCAATGTTTTTTGCATTTAAGTGTCTTAATTCAGCTCTGATGCTTCAGTGCTTTTACCAATGTAACAGTGTTTTGTTGAGAGATCTCCTTAATGCACTGGTGTTTTCTAGGAGCCACTTAGGAACACAAGAGTGGAATTTAATGTAAACTGGGTCAAATCTGAGTGCATATATGGGTTCTAGAATCTGTATTTGTGGTGCTTAAATACTGAATGAACAAATATTTGAAGACTCTGTCAGTAAATGTAATTTTTGCTTGGGACATGTTTTGTTGTTTTATGAGGATGTTATTTTTTTTTTTGGTTTTGAGTTATCGTCTGTTTTTCTTGCAGTTGATTTGAAAGAATGCCTTCAGTCTGCAGAATTTATCAGTTCCACTGATGGGAACTTCAAGATTCTAGAGGATGGTTCTGTGTACACAACATCTGCTCTTTCTTTGTCTGCTGAGAAAAAGACTTTTACCATATTACTTAAAGACATTCAAAAACAAGTTGAAAAGAAAATACATGTTAGCTTGGTGGAAGAAGAAAAGAAGGTGAGCTTCTGATTTCAAGATACCTTACTTATTTGAAGTTCTGTTTCACAGAGTGCAACTTCATGCTAGGTAACTGTAGTTGGCTTTTGGAATTCAAATAATAGGGCAAAATACTGGTGCAGAGTGTAATTTTATTTAGCAGATGTTGATTACTGTGTTGCTTAAGTCAGCAGATTGCCTTTCTCAAAGGGGAGATGCTAGCAAGTAGCTTAATCAGGAATGTCAAGAATCTTAAAAGCCATGTTTGAGGAATTAAAGCAGATTTTATTCATGCAAAGTATTACAGCAAATGAAAAAAACTTGGAATACTATCATAGGTAATCAGAAATTAAGACCTTCAGAAAGAAAAGGATCAGTAATAGGACTGCAACAGGGGGTCGGGGAGGGAAGATGGAGACACAGGACAGCAGTAAAACAAAAATATACACAAAAATATAACAAAAAGAATGTCTGTCTTTTTATTTTCTAGACACAGACACAGAAGACCAGGCGTGTTAGAGATACAGTTCTCAAGCGAACCAAAAGAAGGTGGGGCCCTATTCCATCTGTTATGATAGAGAACTCACTGGGACCTTTTCCTCTACAAATTCAGCAGGTACATTTTATACAACCCCCAATTTTATGACCCAAACTAGTTTTTTATGTGACTCTGATGATAAAGAAGAAAATGAGCTGTATTCCTCTGTCTTGTTCTGTCCCGTTCATTGTATATCTCATGGTCTTGTAGCTGAAATAACTTGTGATCATAGTTGTTGGAGTGAACTGGAATTGTTCAGGAGTTGAAAAAAAGGATAACAGCATACTATCAAAGAGAACTCTTTTGTCCTGGAAATCAGTGAAGTGTATAATTACAAAAAAAAACCCCAACAAACAACCCTCCACTAAACATTGTCCAGAAAGAGGTTTTGTAAACACAGACTGGGGTAAATTTTACCTGCATGTCTACATCCTTTCTGGAGCTTGAGGTGTATGCCTTCAGCCTCGAAGACTGAATATGGCCTGTGTTATTTGAAAAAGTACTTACTGGAAGAAAACAAGTAGGCGTGAAAGAGAAATGAAAGAACTAAAGTTATCATAGATCCATCTAGCCTTCTCTAGATTACAGAGTGGCTGGGAGCAGATGTGTAGAGACAAGTGTAATAACAGAGTCTGTGCAGAGCAATCATTCTTCTTCTAATCTTACCTTCCTAACTTCTGGCATCCAGTAGGTAAGGAAAGTATTTTGGGATAAGAGTATTTATAAATGGATAACTCTAATGTCTCCACCTTAGTGCTTGTAATGAGATGCAGAGAAGCTGTCTGAATTGGCATATGTCTGGAGTATACTCTAGGTTGTCTTCCTTCTCCTCTCCTTCCTCTACTTCCTCCACTTTTTCCTCTCTAGTTGCAAACCAGCTCATTCTCAATTAATGCAATAAAACTAAAATCTCTTGATCAGGACAGAAATAATATCTGGATGTACCTTGTATATGCAGTATTCTAGAGAGATTAGAGTTCAACTTTTTTTTTTTTTTGCATACTGTCATTTCCTTTAATTATTTGATATTCTAAACATCTATGAATTTTATGAATTAACTCCCCTTCTCATGTACACACATTATAAAGGAAGACAGTTACATGGCAGGCTGTTTTCCTATTCTGTGAAATTTATGCTGCTACAGAAGTAAATCAAGTCTGATGTGTTTTTTTTTTTTAAGAATTCCTGTTTGTGCTAAATATGGTGATAAAAATGGGGAAAATGCGGTTTTTCCTTGGGCTTAAAAACGTGTTCTTATAGGTCCAGTCAGACACAGCTCAGAACTACACAATTTATTATTCTGCAAGTGGACCAGGAATTGATCAAGATCCAAAGGGTTTATTTTACATAGAAAGAGAAACTGGAAATATCTTTGCTACTCGTGCAGTAGACCGGGAACAGTATCCAAGCTTTCAGGTACAGGCCTAAGTTGTGTAAATATAATTACTTTTTTTTTTTTTCTCTCTTTCATGCGTTTATTTGACAGCTGGGTTACAGGGGACAAGATCTGGAATCAGCTCTTCATTCTGAGTGATATCTTGGTGTTGAAAGATCAAATGAGTGACCAAAATAGATAGTGACCATCTAGATCTTGAGAATAGTTTTGCTTTTCACTGATTAGACTAATTACAGCATAAAGGTAGTGGGCTATTCTGTTTAGATCACTTTTAGGAAGAGTTTTTAAGGAAAGGTTGAAAAGGTCTGTAGAAAAGCAAAATAATGATAAACACTAGACGGGCTGTGGTTTTTTGAGTCTCTCTCAAGCTGTTCAGTTCTGGTATTTTGTTAACAAGGTACACTGCTCTCTCTACTGGCTGAGAAGTGTAAGAAGGCAATTAGTAGAAACACCTTCTAGTTAGCTAATTTTGCTGTGTTTTGTTAGATTATGTTATAATGACCAAATTGCTGTCTTTCTTGGGTTTACTTTAAATAGCAATATTTGTGTCCAAATTCTGGTAACACTGAAATTACTTCATAAAAAAATGTGTTCAAGAGACTTGGAAAAAGTGTTTGATAGAGTTGGTGAGGGGAGGTCAGGGAGAAAGTGATTCTAATACTTGTCAGTGTGAGGAAGGGAAAGGGGGAAGATTAGAAGCATTCAAAGGTTTTGTGTTGCTGTCACCCTAAGATACCTGTTACTTTCCCTTCTATGTGCCTGAAGAGCCTGGTCTTGAAAGGGGTATGCTTCTCACACTGTGTGTTATTTTATTGACTCTTTCATTGAAGTAAAAGTGTAATAATACTGCCTGTTGCTTAAGCACTGAATTTACATCCTACAGATCATTTGCTTTGCAACCACTCCAGATGGTTATTCACCAGAGGTACCACTTGTGCATACAATCAGGATAGAAGATGATAATGATAATGCTCCATATTTTACGCAAGACCTATTTGAGTTTTGTGTCCCTGAAAATTCCAAGCCTGGTAAGAATTGTTTTAAATCTGTGAACACACTTATCACTACTCAGCTCAGTAACTTATCAGTATGACAGGGTATAATCCTGCCTTTTAATCAATTTCAACGGGATTTCCTGAGGAGTATTTTGTTACAACAGAGGCTGAATTTGCAAAGAGCAGCTCCAGATTTCTTAATTATTAGAAATTCCAAAATGTCATCTCCATCATAGTGAAAAATATTGTTAAAAGAAATTTTTAAAAACTGAGGTAATTCAATGTTCTGAAAGTGTGCAAGAATTTCAGAACATTATTAGTTTTATTTTATACAAAAAACATCTGTTTCCCTGAAATGTTTTTAGAAGTTTCCTAAATAACTAAAAAGGTGATGTTCTAAGATGTAAAATGCCTTTGGTTCAGCTTGCAGCGTTTGTCCAAGCTGATGCACTAAGGTGAGACTTTTCCTGGGAGAGGTGGAGGAAAGTCTTTGCTTCTGCCCATACCTGTAAAAGGCTGGGATTTGCCCGTTGCTGACTTCATGTGTCTGTGTAACAGGCAACAAAAGCAGGGAGAAGAAAGATGGACCCCAGCCAATAAGGAATGCAAAAGCCATGGTGTGCCTGCCATTCCTCACTCATCTCCTAGGGTAGGGCTATAGGGTGGGGAAAGTCTTAACTTGCTTCACAAAAAAAGGAAACAAAGTGTTTTTCCTGTCACCCCAAAAATCTACTTGCATTTCTTTCTCTGAGCTGCTCTATCGTCTTACCATGTGAATTACTGATTTAAAGGGAAGTTCCAGAACCACTGGGGTTATGGGGAGGACGTATAGCACTGCTCTGTGTGACAGGGTAGTGCAGTTTGAATCAGGTCAGAAAGCTCTGAACCTCCTCGTCCGTCCCCGGGCAACACCTTTTCAGCTGTTTTCGAGATGCTCAATTAGAAGTCACTGTCAAACACACTAACTGAAATGTAAACTTTAAGTGTTTCTTTGGATTATTCTTTCTGACAGCTGCAATAATCACAGCTTTGTCTTAAGAAGGAAAAAAAATACCCAGAGGGTTGAAATAGATAATTTTACACTATTACTGTTTTTTTACTGCTGTTTATGGGTTTTAAATGTTATTTTAATTTAGAGCTAACTGATGAAATAGCTATTTTCATGTGTTTAAAACAGAAATACCTGTTCAAATAGATTTTTTATTATATGCAGATTTTTCTGGAACTAAAAATTCCTGTATTGTGTTTACAGGTGTTGTTGTTGGAAGAGTGACTGCAGAGGACAGAGATGAGCCTTATACTCTGCATACTACATTGAAATACCGCATTGTGGCCCAAAATCCACCAATTACCCCAGCATTTTCTTTACATGGTGATACCGGTGTCATTTCTGTATTACTACCGCAGCTGGATAGAGAGGTGATCTTTCCCTTCCTCTTGTCTAGTGCACAGAGATAGCTTCTTAACCCCTCTCTGCTCTGCCCCTGTGAGACCCCACCTGGAGTACTGCATCCAGCTCTGGGGTTCTCAGCACAGGAAGGACATGGACCTGTTAGAGCAGGTCCAGAGGAGGACCATGGAGATGGCTGGAGAACTGGAGCACCTCTTCCAAGAAGATAGGCCTGGGGAAGAGAAAACTCTGGGGAGACCTCATTGCAGCCTTTTATTACTTAAAGGCGGGGGTTAGGAAAATAGGAGAGTGACTTTTTGCATAATCAGACAGCGACAGGACAAGGGGAAAAGGTTTTAAACTAAAAGAGGAGAGATTTAGGTTAGAATTTAGGAAGAAAGTCTTTACTCAAAGGGTAGTGAGGCACTGGGACACGTTGCCCAGAGAGGTTGTGGATGCCACATCCCTGGATGTGTTCAAGGCCATGTTGTACAGTACCCTGAGCAAACTGATCTAGTGGGTGGAATCTCATGGCATGGGCACGTTGGAACTAGATGATCTGTATGGTCCCTTCCAACCCAAGCCTTTCTGTGATTCTGTGAATTGCTTGCATGGGAATCACCATATATAGCTTCTGTTACCCAATTTTTATTACCCTCTCTAAGGAGCTTCTGAAGCTTTTCAGAGACCTGTAATTAGTCCAGAGAATTTCTTTGTAGATCTACCATATTCTATCTGACCTTGGCTGGGGACTTCCCATGGCTCTGCTGTTTGACCTATGGATGTTTGCTCTTTTTGTGTTCATGAATCCTGTAAACCACTCTTTCCTCCTGACTAAGTTCCATTTGCAGTGCTTCCTACTTTCTTACAGAGATGAACTAGTTTCTATGGAAGTAGTCACTCATCCTATATTTGACAGAAATATCTCCCCTATTTGAAATCCAAACAGTAATACAACATTTCCTAAAATTAAGGTGCCAACCATTTATTCTTACCAGCTAGCTTTTGAGCAAATAAGATACAGGATTTTTTTTTTTAATAGAATGTCATGTGAGAGATTGTCTACACATAAAAAACCTGACAGGTGCGTGTGATTCAAAATAATATTTCTCACATAAGACAGTCATTCTAGAAAAAAACATTGCAGGCATATCTTTTCTGAAGATAAAAAGAGTTACATTATGATATATTTATGTTGTTTCATGGCTAAAAATCCACATAAACAGCATGTTGCAAAATTTGCACTTACAGGTACCGCACTCAACTTTTTTAGCAAGAGAAAGATGCAGTGATCAGAAGCATCACTGTGACTACTAAGGAAACTGTCACAGTGACTACTTGGGGGAAGGAAGGATTGAAAAAATTAGTCCATTGAATATCTTTTAAAGATAAACTTATGAAATTGAACAGGAGATTTCTTTCCTGTGCCAGAGAAAACAAGTGCTACTTCTGGGCATTCAGAACTGGAGTTACTGTCTTGATTTACAAACTCACTCATTTTGTGCCTCATCTGTCTTTACTGTGTTATGTCCTGTCCCCTGCTCCTCTGCCTGCACCATTTCCCCTCCCCGGTTCCCTTTTCCATGGTTGTTCAGGTATTAGTAAGGCTAAAAAAATTTTCCTGCTGTTGACTTGTTGACTCAAGTCAGTGATTTAAGTGATCTGCTTATCAGAGAGCTCCTTGGAACTGATAAGGACACTGAGTCCTTCAGTGCCAGTCGGTGCCAAATGGCAGACATTGCCTTATCATGTATAGCCCAAACAGAGGCTTGATTGCAGCACTCTTTTTGTTCATCCTTAGCAAAATAAGGGATGTACATAGAAACACTTTGCCTCCTGGGCAACACTAAGGTTGCTTCAAGGTGCATTATCTGTATTTTCCAAAACTTCGGGTTTTGGAAAATAATGCTGACATTGTGAGAAGCTTTTTTTGATACAGGATATATCCTGCATGTTGCCCTTGGATGCTGAACTCAGTGCTTAGCCACTGAAAAGTATTTTGCTGCTTTTCCTCTTGGAACTATATGGGAGAAAGCCCCAAAGCTAATTGCCTCATTTTGTTGGGGAGTACTGAATTAAGAGCAGAATTGTGGAACAGGGGTGAAATATTTAGTTCTACTCTTGTATGTAACTATGCAATTAAAAAAAGTGAGCATGTCAAACTTCTGTGTGATTTTATTCTTCTTTTCAGCTCGTTCCCAGTTACACTTTGTTAGTTGAAGTGAGAGATATGGCAGGTCAGCCTTTTGGTTTGTGTACTACAGGAACAGTGGTTGTCAAAATCGAAGATACAAATGACAATGCACCATCCTTTAGACAGATACAAGTAAGTGCATAATTGAAATGTCACTATAATGGTTAAAAAAAAAAGACTATTTTCATCCCCTTTCTAATTTCCTGATGGACTGTCCTTCAAATATGAAGCCTGATGTCCTAAGACAGTTAATGCCAATATAGACGTTTGAGAATGCCATGTTGATTGTTGTGCTGTTTAGTAATTAGACCTATTGGTATATTAGTTGTTTTGAGTAATTTACCTCATGCATGTTGGGAGAAAGCATATGTGACTCTTTCATTCACTTCTCCTGCAATACGTAGTTTCATAAATCCTATAATTTAACCATTTTTTGTAGGGGAAAAACAGATTCACACCTAAGCAGTGTCATGACTGCATGACCATTTGACTGGTTTTTGGCTACTTCTGTGTTGCAAATGAAAATGTACTTGTCAGTGAAGTAGATGCAAGGATTTTCATTGAGATTCCTGTGATTTTCCAACATTGCTTTTTCTTCTACAGAAGTATTTAAGCCACTTGTTCACTAATAGCTATAACTCAGCCTCATGGCTTTGCTTATTCCAACCATCTGTATGGACAGAGAGTATGTCTCAAAAGTCATGTATATAGCTCAAATACCACAGGAGATTTTGTAATATGAAATCTATTAAAAAAATAATTCATTATTCATGAGGAATACATGTACTTTACCTTTTCCATTCACTACTGTAGAAGATCATCAGTAATATTAATTGAGAATCTCTCTTATTTGCTCTTCTTGAGCTTATAGAGAATAATACAATTCTTTAAAAAGATAAAAAATAAGAAAAATGCTTTTATCTTTTACCATCCAAGTAGAGATGTATTTCATACTTCTTGGCTTTTCTTCAAGTTCTTGTGGTTAGTTTAGATGTATATATATATATATTTTAATTTGCCCAGTGCTTTTTCTAATTCTCAGCTTGATCGTGTTATATGTAAATTAGAACCAGTAGCTTATGTTACTGAGGAGAACTGCACTAATTTATCTTTCCTGGAAGAAAAATTATAGAATTAATTATGTCAGTAACAGTTTGAGTGTATGAAGAAGCTGAGATTTCAACTGTGCTGGCGGGAAAGGGTTACTCTTTGACCTAGGGTGAAAGGGAGGAGTGGGAAAGATACTAATGCATGAAAACAAAACCAATCATTACAGCAGCTTGGTAAATTGACTCCTTGGGTTTAAGTAGTCATATTTAAATCTGGTGTTCTTCAGTCCTCCATGGTGTAGCAGTATACTCCGATTTAAATTAATTTTTTATTTTTTTTAATACTCCTAGTATGAAACACGAGTGGAGGAAAACAGAGTGAATGTAGAAATACTGAGAGTCTCTGTTGTTGATCTTGATGAACCTGGTTCACCTGGCTCAGGAGCAGTATATGAAATTATAAGAGGAAATGATGATCAGGCCTTTGAAATTACAACAGACAAAAACACAAATGAAGGAATACTGTGTGTTGTCAAGGTAAGTAAAAGCTAGAGGAAAATCTATGTTTCTTCAGGTTTTGCTATTAATAATATAGGAATCATTTTTATTCAAAGAATATCTGTAACTGTAAGGTTTATCAGACTTCTGACCTGAACACTCTTCTAAAGCAGATTACACACAGCAATTGAGGCTTATGTGTGGTACATAACTCACGAAGTTCACCTTCCAGACTACTCAATTTTGTGTGCTCGGAATCTAAGGAATTCCCTCTGGTTTGTCGTTTCAGAGGAGCTTGGTGCTTTTGCCTTCTTCCACAGTTGTTATTTCAGACTTAGGGATGTAAGTTGAGGAATGCTTTGTGGCTGTTTTTTTAACAGAAACAGGAGAGTGGCAAAGGAGGGGAAGGTTCAGCACATTCTCCAGTCTTGTTCTCTCTGGAGCTGAATTAAACTTATTATGTCAGCATAAAACTCTCCAGATCTGATTTTGCAGTGTAGTGACTTCTGGTTTGCTTTTCTGAGGCGTGAGGGAGTACACATATGCTACCTTGTGTTAGTTTAGTTGCTTGTTATACCCAGTACTTTACAGATATGAGGTATCCACTGCATCTATATTCCAGCACATCCCTTTGCCTCTTCATGCCTCTTTTTCATCATCTGTTAAAACTGCCGTAGTAAGAGGTAACTTCTCAAGAGCAGAGAAGATTGATGTTAAAATTTGAAGATGTAAATTATAGAGATAGAGATGCTAGTAATTTTTTTTCAGTTATTTATTATGGGTTTTTGTTACCAGTAATCATTAGAACTTTCTCTAAAGTGCTGTCCCTGGTAAATGAACACAGCTGAAATTTCTTGTATTTATTGTAAAGATGTAGTAGAGTAGAGAGCATTGTGAATTTAGGATAAAATTAACTCTCTTAAAAGCATATGATGACCTTGGGGAAAAAGAAATGATAGGTCTGAAGAATAAATGGTAGCTACTTACTGTCAACTCGTATGCATTCAGATGTATTTGTAGGTACTGGAAAGAAGTGTGTTTGCCTAGTGGTGGAAAGGATATGTATGTAAGCTAAAATAATGGCCAGCTAGATATGGAAGAGGAAAATACCCCACCACATCTAATCGTTTTCTCATTTCTACTAGTAATTCAGTAACAGAATGTTTGTGTAAAATTTTGCGAGGGTGCTGCTTGTCATATTAGGGGTATTTCCTCAGGCTCTTTTCTTTGACTAACTTAGAACTTAACATTTTTTGCAAAAAATCGTGTCCCTTTACTGTGTCTCAAAATGAATGTTCAAGAAGGATAGCTGGTTTCTTTTGTAAATAAGTGTGGTGCAGTTGTATCTATTTAATAATTCGGCAGTGAAAGCAATACAAAGTTTTGTATTTGTTTGAAGGAAAAAAAACAAAACAGCGCCCTCTCTTTGTTACAGGGACTGGACTATGAAAGTGCCAAGCAAAGGATCCTTGTGATTGGAGTCAACAATGAAGCACCCTATCTGCTGGCACCACATTCACAACAACTTTCCCAGAGCACCTGCTCTGTTACAGTGAATGTCCTGGATGTGGATGAGGGACCAGTGTTTAAACCATGTCTGTTGCGCTTAGATGTTAAAGAATGCGAAGATATTGGGACGGCTATTGGGAGATATGTAGCAGAAGATCCAGAAACTGGGAATAGTGAAGGCATAAGGTATGAAACAACCTTACCTACTAGTTTTTTTTGGAGTACAGCATGGGTGGGATACAGGAGAGGGGAAAAAGTTGTTGATGCTGTATGTACGTGTGTGCACCTGCACACCTGTGTGTATATATATTTGTATATATATATATACATATATGTGTATATATTTATACATGTATACGTGTATCTAAATACTTATGTCTGTACATATGCACGTGTATGTATGTTTGGGATCTTTAACAAGACAAATTATTCTTGACAGATACCGGATACCACCTGGGCAATGTAATTGGATCAACATAGATGACAAATCAGGTGAAGTCAGAACTGTTAAAGTTCTGGACCGAGACATAGGAGAAATGAGACGAGGCCAATGCAACATCACAGTCCTTGCAATAGACAGAAGTGAGTACTAAATGTTGTTGGCATTCTTTGTGGTCTGTAACAGATGTTTATGAGCAAATTTAGTGTAGGAACAACTGTAGTGGTTCACACCAGTGGCCTGGCTAGTCCATTGTTGTGTCCTCTCAGTGTTTTGAAAAGTTATCTGTCCCTGTTTGAAATACTCTAGTAATTTTAAATTGAGAGATTTTCCTGTGGATTGTGTTCTTCTATTTCTCAACTGTTGTTTTTTAAGTGATAGCACCTGGCAGCTGTGAACTTGTCAACATGGAAAGCTGAGAGAACTTTTTGAAAAGAAGTTGTTGACATTGCAGCTAAAAATTCTGTGTCCAAGTTTGCATATTAAATTTATATATAAATAATATGAATTTAAATTGTTTAGAACTTCTGTTTTATATAAAGATGATATATATGCATTTGCAATCAACTGTTTGTAGAGAAAGGATTAAAAAGTAGTCTTGATGTAATTTCACTGGAATGTATATACATGCATTGACCATTTGTGTATTGAAAAAACTGTAATTAGGAGGAAGAGCCCATTCACTTCTTGCATACAGACTTTAGTGGCAGTACCACTGATGAACCCTGCCATTGCATGGTAACTTAAAGGGTAGAGGACAGAAAGAAGCCCTGCTGTTTCCTAAAGTGTTTGTATTCCCAGGAGAGGCGAGGGTAATGAAGGTTCTCCTTCCAGAAGTTAAAAGGCTGGAGATCTTCACTTTCTGCTTTTGACTCTGATTGATTGTCTTAGTGTCCTTTATGCCTAGTTCATGTGCTCTTCCTCCTCTGTTCTTCCTGTTAGAACACCATGTGTTCCCACAGAGATACACACGCTCAACAAAATACATTGTCTGCACAGGCAGAATATGGAAATTTGGGAGCTGTTGATTTATCTGCAACCAACCAAGTAAAGAGAAGCAACCAAGAGAGAACCCTCTCTCTGGCTAAATCAGCAGTTGCTTTGCACCTTACTTCTATACTTAGATATCACAGTTGATATTTCATTGGGAAAGTTTGGACTAGAAATTAATATATGAATGTTAGAAGTAAGTGCTGAAACTAGTTATTTTTGTTCACAGATGGTAAAACAGGCACTGGAACAATTCAGGTTTGCATTGTGCCTGGGAACAAGAATTTCCCACGAATCGCTCAGACGGACTATATAATGTGCAGAGACAGAGAACCAATCTGCCTTACTGCACAGGATGATGATGAGGCTCCTTACAGCACACCCTTTGTGTATCGCATAACTGACCGTAACTTGGCTTCCATGTGGAAGATAAATCCACAAAACGGTATGTTAAGACTTCCTTCTCCTCATTTAGCAGTAGGTTAAAGGGTGCCGAAAGTGTAAATCCTTCCGCGACGTAGTTTTTTTGTCAACACATTTAATCTAGCTTTAAACTGATGCGGATCTGGTAGCAGTATAGCTGCAGCAGAAGGGAAGATTGTGGTTATGGTCACATTTGTGACAGATGAGTTGCAAATACTGTTGACACTAGATCTGGTTTTGTAATTTTTTTTTTTACAGATAATTCTGCGTATCTTTCACCAAAGGGTGATATTCCATTTGGAATTTATGATATTCCTGTAAGTGTGATGGATAACGGAGGAAAGGTAGGAGAGACCACCGTAAGAGTTAACGTCTGTGATTGTGTGACTCCAAGCGAATGCGATGGCAGGAGCCGTCAACTTTCTGGTGGAAATGTTACCCTTGGTCTCTGGGGCATCCTTGCAATGATCTTAGGATCGCTTTTATTGCTGCGTAAGTACACTTCTTTTTTAAACACAAAGTGCAAACCACTTAATTTTAAAATCAGCTGAGAGAACCTGATTCAAATTTAATTAAAACCTTTTTTATTTTGACAATTGTATAGCTCTCATCACTGATTTAATATACCTGCTCTATTTGTATCAGTATCACAGGCTTCTTGCTCTCATCTTGTGCTCTAGTTACTCTGTGTGGCTTTTTGTTTATTCATTTAAGTGTATTTTGTGTAAGATGTTCTGTATGTTCATGCTAATGAGGCCAAAAAACCTGCATTCAGCACTTGAACCAAAAGAGGGTGGTATTATAGTCCTCATCTGACCAAGCAAAGTTTGTGAGTTAGAAACATAACTGTTTCTAGAAATGCTGAGATCAGTTTCCTAGAGCATTTTGTGATCTTTCTTGTGTTGTGAGTTGAAACATGGAGTATCTGAGACACTGGATTTCACAAGGGATTTTACAAGAGCCCATATTGTCATAGAATCATAGAATATGCTGAGTTGGAAGGGACCCATCAGGATCATGGAGTCCCAGCTCCTGACCCTGTATAGGACACCCCAAGAATTCCCATGTTCCTGAGAGTGTAATCCAAATGCTTCTTGTGCTCAAGACAGGCTTGGTGTTGTGACCACTTCCCTGGGAAACCTGTTCCAGTGCTCAACAACCTTTTGTGTGAAAAAATTTTTCCTGATATCCATCCTAAATGTCCCCTGACTCAGCTTCATGCTGTTTCCTTGAGTTCTGGCACTGGTCATGAGATTGAAGAGATCTGTACCTGCCCTTCCAATTTCCCTCACGAGGAAGTTGGAGGTTTCCTCTCAGTCTCCCCCGGGCTGACCAGACTGAGTGACCTCAACCTCTTCTCATATGGCTTCCCTTCAAGGCCTTTCACCATCTTCATTTTGCTCCTTTGGACACTCTCTAATAGTTTTGTATCTTTCTTATGTTGTGGTGCCCAAAACTGCACACAATATTCAAGGTGAGGCCTCCCCAGTGCAGAGCAAAGTAGGACAGTCCCCTCCCTCATCTGTCTGGTGATGCTTTGCCTGATGCCCCCCAGGACACAGTTGGCCCTCCTGGCTGCCAGGGCACTGTGACTCACATTCAACTTGCCATCAACTAGGACCCCCAGGTCCCTTTCCATGGCACTGCTTTCCAGCCTCTCATTCCCCAGTCTGTACAAACATACAGGGTTGTCCCATCCCACGTGCAGAAATGTTGAAGGACAGGTTGAATACTTTCACAGCAGACTGGACATGTTGTGAAAGCTAGATAGATCAATGCTTTATCTCGACAGGGCAGGTACCCAAATTTGTGATATAGCCCGAAGGTAGAATTTTCAGATGTGGGAATGCTCAGTAGAGGAACTGTGTGAAATGTCAGCTACCTTTCTGTCATCGCCTCTTGACTGCATCCCTTTTAAATAAGATCCTTTATATTACTGTGGCTAGGTCTTACCCTGTGTATCTTCTACTCAGTGCTGTCATGGATGTCTTCTTCCCATCTGTCAGCATCAGGAAGCAAACTGCCAGAATCACTGGTGCAGATCTCGCTGACAGCTGATGCTACAGAAGCTAAATTAGCTTGAAAGTGGCTCTTGGCCAGATTTCACAGAAGTTTTTATTTTCAGACATCAGATTGCTCAGTGGGCAGTTAGGCAGAACTGTTCTATTCCTTTGGGCTTCTTTATTTTTAAGCTAATAATTTGAAAAGTGACGAAAAAGAATGATTCTCTGAATGAAAGGTATTAGTTGTACACAATTCTTTTATGCAAAGTCATTTTTGGGTGAGTCTTCATGACAACAAAAGTAGTATTATAGGAGGAATAAAATGAATACAAGGAATTAAATAAGATTGTTCTGTAACATAATGCTTGAAGCCCTCCAGGGTTCTGCTAACCTTTTGTGTGAAACAAAGGTTTCTGGTGTTGGGACCTTTAGCTTGCTTATTACTTCCTTATGATATAATTTGATATCTGATGAAAAATATTCACAGATGAAAAATGTCTTACGTACAACTTTGTTGTAGGCATAAGACATGATTTTTCACCTAGATTTGGTCTAAAGTTTTCATTACTGTGAAATTGTGCACAATGCTTTCATAAAGGATATTTGCATTTCTTTTGGGAAACCAAAATGTGTTTTAGAGGAATGAAATAATTCAACAGGGCAGTGAAAACTCCATATACTTTTTGAAAAAAATGTGTATATATACAGCTTTGTGTATGGGCATTTTTGGAAATTATTTTTTAAATAATTGCTGTTTTGATGCTTAGGCATTTAAAATTCACTATCCAATGTCTTACCATTATGAGGTAAATTTATAGTATTATTTCCTTTCCATAGTAATCCTGATCACAATCTGTGGCTGCTGTGGCCGTGGAGTAATGCACAGGCAGGTGACTGATGATTGTGCCAATCACAATTTAATAATTTCAAACACAGAAGCTCCAGGCGAAGAAGTGATGGTAAGTTGTCTGTTTGCTTCAATGTAGAAACTTGTAATTAGGATGTCCATAGCACTGCAATTTAAGAACAGGACCACCTACCTGCGAGTGAGTGATTTAGTAAAGAAAATAAGCAATCAATGCAGGGATCATTAGATGTGCATTGCTGTTTAACAAGAATTTGAAAATTCTTACTTTAGGCAAAGTTGGTAGTACTGTGAATTTAAACATAACCTTGTAGTTGTTACCCCGACTACTTGGAATTCTTCCAGATTTTAAGTGTTTGGTTGGAAGTTTCAGGTGAACCTTTTAATAACTTCGGTCACTTTCCACAGTGAGATTAGATAGGGACTTACTATTTTGCTTATGTTGACTACGAGTTTATGGCAAAACATTATTGTTTTTTCTTGGAGAAGGATTTTTAAATTTAGAAGTTAGCTGCTGTAAATTGCAGGTACAATTTCTGACCTTCCCCTGAAAAATGACCTCAAATACAGTTGATTTCATGAACTGTCCATGTTCATGAATTTTTTTTCTTGCTTTCTGGCATTTCACTCTGCCATGAACATCGTTTAGTCAAGGACTGTGTTCATACACAAGAATTTAGCTCTTCAAACTCTTCGTCTTTTCTGTGGTTCCCCACCTCCTGACATTGTCCTCCCTAAGAAAAGGAGATAAGTTTCAAAACAGTAATTTACTTCATGTTGAAAACCAAGAAACCCTGAGTGACAAGTGTCAAATTTCCTGTTGCCTATGAAGCATAATGTAGTGCCATTATAAACTAGTTTGTGGATTACAGCACATTTCACTGGGATTAAAACTCAGTTTTTGGATCTCATATCATGTTTAAATGCAGATTTTCCGACTTACCCCTTGTCATTGTATCCTTTCCAAAGACCATTTACTGATCTAAATACGCTAAGGATAGCTTTTTATTCAAAATATCACAGTGCAGAGTGCAGAGATGGAGACTTCTTAATTTTCAGTTTTGACTGGTTTTATTGCTGTTTTGTCTTTTAAATTGGAAAAAAAAAGGAGGAAAATGTATCCCCACTATTGCATCTTTTTTTTTTTCTTTTTTTTTATTTGGTTAGGATCACAATATAATTCCTCTACAAAATACATGTGATCAAGGAGGGTATGGAGTAAAAACAGGAGATCAACAAACATTTGAAGTGGTGAAAGGAAGAGGGCATACCTTGGAATCAGTCAAGGGAGGTGGACACCAGACTCTGGGATCGGTTAAAGAAGGAGGAGGGCAGCCTATGATGGATACATGTAGATACTCCTACTCAGAATGGCATAATTTCACACATCCTCGCTTAGGTGAAGTAAGTAGTCTGAAACTGATTTTTTTGAAGTGTAAGGTTATGATCAGTATATACAGACTTTTCAAGCAAGACATGTAATTTTTCTAGACAGGTGACTTTCTGGTTTGGGTTTAATTTAATTTTTTCCTTTCCTTTGCTCATCTGCATCCCCTTTGGAATACTGCCCTTTCAAGGAGTCATCCTTGACATATTTCAGACATTAGTGTAAAATACTGTCTTTTCTTGGCTTAAACTATAGGCAGTGTGCTATTTTTCATTTTGAATATTTAATAATTTAGAATAATTACTGAAGCTTTTGTGAGTTTTTCTGAGAATGTGTTTGCTTTTATTCTAACTGCTTGCTTTGTACTAATTTAAACCTCATGCTTACCTTAGCAATGGAGCAGGAATGAATGTACAGCATTAGAAATGCAGTCACTCCGTGCCTTGGAGATCAAAAAAACTCTTCACTACTTGCCTAACTAGTTATGTGTAAATCAGTCATTTAATTTTGAGTGTATTTTAGTGGCTTGACAGGTTATTTAAACAGGTTCTTCCTCTTTTATTGTACATACATGACTAGTAGAAATTCTTTCTTTATTAAATACTTATATTTTGTAGTCTTAATGATATAGACCAATCATGTGCATTTTTTGTATATAGGAATCCATTAGAGGACACACTCTGATTAAAAATTAATCAATGAAAGGTAAATCAAAAAGAAATTATTTTTATGCAATATGTTTAGGATAACAATTTAAGAAAATAATAAGATATGTTCTCTTCCTATCCAGAAGGTGCACCTATGCAGACAGGATGAAGAACAGAAGCATTCTGAAGATTATCTCCTTTCATATAACTATGAAGGAAAAGGATCCTTGGCTGGCTCTGTAGGCTGCTGCAGTGATCAGCATGAGGAAGAGGCACTTGACTTCTTAGATCAGTTGGAACCCAAGTTTAGGACATTAGCAGAAACATGCATAAAAAGATAAACGTGCCTTTCACAGTGCTGAAAAAAACCTGTAAATAAGTGGCTGTCGTGCTTTTGTGATATTAGGTATTTTGGAATTGATGAGGGAAGAGGTTTATAAAAATTTATGTAGACTGGTAAGAGTGGAAGTAACTCTTGCTTTAAATTTACATTTTCTTATGCCAGACACATTCCATCAAAATAAGGGACTCAAAATATTTTTTCTTTAGACTAGGTCAATATAGTAATGCTAGTTCCTACTTAGATTACATTTTGCATTCTTTGTGATTACTTAAAATGCAAAACTTGGTGTTCTTCTAATTAATTATTCAGCTTCAAAATTTTATTGTATTTGGCTTTGGAGAAGGAAAGCTTTTTAACTCACTGTTTCTTTGTTTTCTTTTAATTTTATAGAAATGAAACAAAAATTTTGTTGGTGGATATCAAATACCTTGTTAATTTTTAACTTATATGAACTGAGATACAAAATATTTTTTAGTTTTGGAAATAAATGAAATATTATAATAAACTCATGAATATATTAGAAAACTTGACATTCTGATTGAAAATTAAATATATATATATATTGTATATATGTAAAATAATATTCAAAAATATATTTTTCTCCTAATGGGTTACCACCCATCCAACTTGCTATCCTAAGGGATTTATGGCATCACCACATAGGGTATCAGCATTGTATGCAAGGATGTATTTTTCTTTTAGAGAAATAAAAGATTTTAAAAAATCGCAAAATAGAGATAAATATCATATTTCAAATGAATGCAAGACAAATCTCATGTTTACTTCACATAAGTTTGTACCTCAGTTTCTTGTGAGTTTTGACATAGTGTCGTTGCCAAGAGTTTTGTCCAGTGTAGCTACAACTGCCTTTCCATTTACCCTGTTACGAACTTCATTAACTGTTCCTTTTTGTTAAGAACAGCTCGACAGAAGATGTAGTTCAAATGGATTGAGCATATTCTCCATTAATAATGTGTTTTAGAATATCTTTTTATTGAGATGCAAAATTACACTGGGATAAACTGTCTGTTTTGAGTGTAATATGTGGTAGTTGTAGAGGTGAGCATTTACAAACGTCTCTGGCAGAAATCATCTGAATCCCATTTCTTATTTTACTAGAATAAGCAATACATATACACTATATATATATATATATATACACACACACAAAATCTGAAGTACCTTTGGCAGATGACAGTGGTGGGACCTGAATGCTATCATAAGCAGCAGGTGGAATTTCACCTCTACTTCCTGGATTTTAAATGTTTGGGGTTTTTTTGTTGTTGTTGTTTGGTTTTTTTAAATATTTGCACTCCTGGTTAAGAAATCTATCCTCTGCACTCTGGGAATTCTCTTGTGCCTTAAAAGAAAATCTCAGTGCCTATGAGAAACTTGTGCAATTACTTATTTCTGCTGCTCTAATTCTGCTTTTAGGATTTGCTCTGTAAACATATGCCTAGGGATATTTTTAAATATTTACTATAGCTAATGATCTGTAAAAGGAATAATAACTAACAGCCAAGAGTCATGATGCTCTAAATATCAGTTGCTGCTGACTTCCAGGGGTTACAGTTCATTCCACAGGAATTATGGTCAGTGAAAATTCATAATAGTATAAAAACTTACCAGTGTTATCAAATAGTACTTTCAAAACCTTATGTTTCACATTGTAAATGGGCTGCAGTATATTTCTGGTAAAAAATAACTGTTGTTAAGAACTTCACACACCAGTGCTCAATGTATTTTAGTGCATCATTTGAAAGTGGTAATGAATTCATCCTGAACTAGGTACACTGCCAGTGACAAGAGTGACGGTCATCAGCAGCAAAATACTCGATGAAAACCAATGTGTTATGAACTTACTTTATTTAAAAAAATGTGTGCTAACGCTACTCTTCTGAATACTGCTCTTCTTTATCACTAACATAAACAATTTTTCTGTACATGGCAGTCAGATCTGTGACTGATGTAAGTCAGAATTGCTCTGCTGATGCCAGTGAAGCTATGCTGACATGATGCCAGGTGAAGATCTGTCCCCTAGTGTTTATCTTGCTGCTTTATGTCTTGCATCTTTATGTTTAGCTATTGGCTATACACATTTTAAGGTAATATTAATGTCTCCCCCTCCCTCTCTTAATGTTTGCTGGTGTTTTTGTTTGTTTGTTTTTTTAAATTATATAAAAATCCTGTGGTTCAGAAGGACCTAGGATAAATAACAGACTGCACTCTTTTGAAAATTATTTGGAGGGTGGTATAGAGAAGCCTGGGGAGTATGGTTTCTTTTCTCATGAAATATAATAGTAATACTGTGCTAAAAGAACAGACCAAATTTTTATGAGCTGAAATTGAGTTGGCATTGGCTGTTTTAAGTTTATGGTTGCTAACTTACCACTCTGGAATTAAAACAATAAATTATTTAAATCAAAGTAATGTTTTTATAATCTAATATGCCTTAAAAATGTTTTTATTCTTTTTTACATTTCAAAAAACATAGATAATTAGTTACTCTAATTTTTGTCCATTTTTAAACAAAGTAGAAATCTGAAATCACTTCTACTTGTTTGGCTCTTTGAAAAATTAAAATTCTGAATTGAACCAGCTCTTTCTGTAAAATGGAGAATAGAAATAAGATACTTTAAAAAATGAATTGTAAAACATTATTTTCATTGTATCTTCAAAATATGTGAATGGAAACTTTGTATAAAGCATTAAAGTTTACAGATACCAAATATCAGATAACATCTGTGTAAAGCTTACAAATGGAATATGTTAAAAAGTATAATTCACTTGTTGTTACTGTCTTGAATCACCTTAAAAATTGTGAAAATTTCTTCTCTTCAACTAGGTAATTTGCAAACTACTTACCAGTGTCAAAATTATCTTAACATCATATTTTTAGATATATTTTTTAAAACAGTGAGTAATAAATTTTTTTCAAAATAAAAGGATCTTCTACAAAAACTGTTCATTTCTTGTACATGAACCAGTTTATGAAGATAAGCATCTGTATTTCTGAAGAGGATTGGATTTATAAATTTTAATTAAAGTGATTTTTTGACATTATACTGCTGTACTGCTAGTAGTACTTGTCCTTGCAGCAGGAGCAGTGGTGGGTTCTGCCTGGAGGTTTATGGCACAAGCTGGTCAGCTGTCTGGATCTTTACTAATGCTTCCAAAATGTTCACAGAACAATTGACGAATTCAAGATCTTAAAAGTACAAAGCACTACTTTGTCATGTCACTGATAAATTGTAAAAAATACACAGCTCCTATTTTCAAAACCTCATAAGGAAAACCAATGGCAGCAAATAACACAAATTTTCACGTTTGGCACATACAGCTGCAGAATATCGGTGTTGACTATGATCAGGGGACCAGTGGAATATCAGCTTTGGCTTCAATATCTGGCTTAAAGGAAAGAGAGAAATTCACAATTGTCTGAGGCTGGAAGGACTCTGAATTGGTGGGTCCAACCTCCCTGCTCAAGCACGGCTGCTTACAGCTGTTTGTCCTGGAATACGTGGATTTTGAGTATCCACAATTTCCCTGAGAAACCTTTTCCAGTCCTCAGTGACTTTCAAAGTAGAAATGTGTTTCCTGGTCTTCAGGTGGTGCCTTCTGTGTTCTGGGCACCCCTGAGAAGAGCCTGGCATACACCTTCCATTCTGTTATTTATATACATTAATGAGATCTCCCCTGAGTCTTCTCCAGGCTGAACAGTTCACATGCCTCAGCCATTCCTCATAGGAGAGGTGCTCCAGTCCTTTTTCTGTTTTGTGGCCCTTCATTGGACTGTCTCCAGTATTTCCATGTCTCTTTTGTGCTGAGGAGCCCAGAACTGGACACAGCAGTCCAGGTGTGGCCTCACCAGTGCTGATTAACAGGGAGGGAACACTTCCTTCAGCCAGGTGGCAGGACTCCAAATGCAGCCCAGGATGCGAAGGGTCTCTTTTGTAGCAAGGTCATATTGTTGACTCATGGTCACCATAGTGTCCATCAGGACCCCCATGTCCTATTCTGCCACACAGTTCTTCCAAGCAGCCAAGGTGCTGCTTGTGCCCCTCTAGCTGGCATCAGGGGGTTAAAATGCCCCATGAGGACCGGGGCCTGCAGATGGGAGGCTGCTTCTGGCTGCCCACAGGAGGCCTCATGGTCAGGGGACCCAGAGCAGACACTACCTTGTCACCCATATCACCTGCTCTTTAATCCTCAATCATAAGTTCTCAGTGGGCAAGCAGCAAGCTTGTTTGGAGAGCAGGTCGGCTTGGCAGCTGGGTGTATCTGGCCCCTGAGGTGGGACCCACTGCTGTCCCCCACTTGCTGCTTCCTCCTGGTGCTTCTGCATGGCTCAGGGTCTGGTACAGATGTTTCTCTTGAGAGCACACCTGGTTCCTCCTTGGCTTTGAGGGCAGTCAACCTCCCTCAGTATTCAACTCCTTGTCATTATGCAGGCCATTGATATTTTTCAACTCTTATAAAGGGTACTCCTCCTTTCAGCCCTGTATTGTCCAGGACTGCAGGACTCTAAGGGAGGGAGAAGTGTGATCACACAGGCAGCAAAGAGGGTCTGTGGCACTCCCTGCTGCCTCATGGAGCGATCAGCATCAGAGGGCTGAGCTCAGCATTTATGTGCTGGCCATATTCGTGAGATGGAGGGTGGTTACATCCACTGTTCTGAGAGCTGGGGTGACTGAGCTGTGGAGAAATGGATGGGAGGGGAAAGAATAAAGTCCTGAAACTGAGCTGAGTCACCTCAGCCTCAGTCAACTCAAGTTGGGACTATACTTAAGCATTACAATGAAAATGGGACTCAAAGACTCCCACTGATCTTGCATTTTTCCTGGTTTTGTGTATTTTCCCAAGGGGGCAAAGCATTATTTTATGAGAAGGCTATTACACAAGGCGCTGTTTTTACTCTTTTAATCCCACTCAGAGCCTTCTAAATAAATCTAAGGCAAGCTTTTAAGGTTAAAAGGTCTATGTTATTAGAACAGAAATGTACTGAGATGAGAAGGGCACCAGTCTAACAGAATTATTTATACTGAAAATAGGCTACCATAAAATCTGTTGCTTGCCATGGTTTTGTTTTGGACTTACAATTTCAGTGTTTTGTTTTTGTTTTTTTTTAGAGGACAATGTGTGTTTTCCCATGAATTATTGTTTATTTGCACTGAAATATTTATTGTGAATATTCATTCAAGCTTCTGTAATACCATCAGATAAATCTGTGACATTAAATAAAGGTTAGATATAAAAATAAAATTTGCTGTATTTAAAGTTGCCCAGGTAATACTGATGATCAGCAAATCTAAGCAAGGTGATCTAAATAAGTAA